ATATATTTTTTATATACATATTTACATATATGTTTTTTCACAAGAATTGTGCCAGATAAAAAGCATAAAATTTTATTGCTCGCACGTGCGTTACCAATATAAAAAAAAGAAACGCAGCCCAAATAAATTTAGTTAAACGCAGCATGGCATCGAACTTTTACGACAAATATGTATTTACCTGTACATACATATGTATATATTTAATTTCAACTGACCATATTTGTTTAGCAATGTTTTGTAGTGATTGGTGATGTTTGGAGTAACATTAGGTCTAGTTAGTATGTAAGTGTTTCCGCACGCATATCCAATTAATTATGCATATTTATAGTTAGACAGATAGCGAGTACGCCTTTTTTTATTGTGGCGATCGATTGAAATTTGCATTAATTTGAATTTAAACGAGATCGTTCAGCTTTTGTATGTATGTATGTATGTGCATTATTAGTGTTGTTACAAATTAGATGAAATGTTTGATTTAAATTTCAATATTTCATTCAATTTTATTTTCCTAGCTTTTGTGGTTTCTTTTCGGTTAATCGCGTTAACTTTTGGCTTTTCTCAATATTTTTTTATGTTTAGTTTAGCTAACTAGTTTCATAGCAGACATCTTATTCAAGTGTGTTAAATTATGCATATCATCATGAATTACTAAATAAATAGATTGCTTATTGACTATATTTTTCTCTATCTATCTATTAGCTATGATTCTTACCCTTTCTATTGTCTTTTTAATATAAACAATAGGACTTTAGTCTCGTTTACTAATTAGCAAAAGTAAAACGATTGCTCAAATATTTACCTTAACAATTGCATATAAGTAATTGAGAAAAAGTTACGAAATGGTCTGCGAACAGGAAGATGACAGTGATGTGGCTAATGATAATATGAGCAATTGTTATAATTATTATGATCTGATTATGGCAACTTAACGTAACTTACAGGCTCTCGCTTAAAACTTCTCTTAAATGGATGTTGCCTATAATTGAACGGCCGAAACTGAAGCAATTTCAACTCACGTCTAAAAGTGTATTATTATTATTAAAACGAAATTGCTTTAATAAGTTTGCACCTACTGGTATTAATTTCACTTCAGATAGAATAAAAGATAAATAGGTATAACTGGGGATACCGGATTTGGACACTTACAAATCAACTTTTCACATTAGAAGTGGTCCACATGAAAAGCTGCGATTTTTTCTTGAATTATTAAAATATCCGCTATTTTAAAGTAGAAAAAGAGTAAGTTAATCAAATTATTAACAGTGAGTATAACGGTTTGTTATTTGATGGATTTATACAGTTATTTCGTTAGCTGTCGCTTTTCTAGTACAACGGGCACGTCTACACTGAGAAAAAAAACGCGTTGTAAGAATAAAAAATTTTTATTTGATTACCGTTTAAAAATGTTCGTTTTTAAATCAAGTGAAAATTCTTAACAAAATGGATTTTTTCATGATAAATACACTACGTATAATGGAAATATTCAAATCAAATACGCCCGTATTGAAATGAAGCATTTTCACTGCACGGATTCTTTTTCATATGTAATTAAGAAAGCATATGTAGACCAAGCATGCAAAGCGGTTACAACACATACATACATACATATCCTGCAAAAAATTGTGCGACTAATCTCTAAAGCGAGTATTTCGAGATTACTCTCAATCGGGTACAATTGGGCATTAATTAGTCCCAACTAGGCTCATACGGGTACTATTGGAGGTCAATTAGTCTCGACTCATCCCTTATGGGTATAATTGGAGATCAATTAGTCCCCAGCTCATCTCTAACGCGTACTATTAACGATTTAATGATATGTACGCACTTAGTCAATAAAATTTCATGTGCGGCATGTGTAGGACATGCTCGAACAAAAGCGAACAGTTCATTCCATATAAATAGATCAAAAGTGGTATTAGTCGCATGCTCCTTTGCGATTGCTCCCGGAGTCATCCCGGATTAGTCCCATTTTTTGCAGGGTTGATACAATTGGTTGCTAGCAAGAGCGTCCGGGTTCAATTACCATCAGACGGAACATAAAATTAAATTTTTTTCTTCTTAATTTTAATTTCGTATAACGAAAAAGCTTCTGTGCACTTCGCAACGACATATTTTACAACGTAAATTCTCAAATTTAAAACGAGTTGGGTTGGTGCTCTTTCATATGCGTATTTCTTTAAATTTAGAACGTTTTTTTTTTAATTCTAAAATTTTTTTCCCTCAGTGTTTACTAATAAATACAATTTTTTTTGAAAGCCGGTTTTTTCTGTTCGAAAAGCTTGAGAACAGCCGTACCGATTTTCTAAAGTTTTGAACACCTATTTCCGACTTTCCAAGCATGTTTATAGACTAAAAATAATTCGGATATGTCATGGGAGCGTTAGCTTTTAGAAGACACATTGTTCGAAAAAAAGCCACCCATCCGGTTCTATCGTAGCAGATCCAAACCCATGGCATAACGACATAACCCGGGAAAGTTGCCCAAGCAGCTAAACTGTGTTTTGTGTCATGAGTTTATAATATGGCAATGTATAGGATGCAAAAAAAAGTTATGCCTTGGCAAATAATGTTTTAAAAATTAGTACGCATAAGTGCCCGCTAAAAAAAGTACACTCCCAGAAATTAACTTTTAAGCTTTTTTCGTTAATTTTAATTCCTAAGTTTGTTTAAAATGGCTTTTATGATCACATAAATAAAATTAGATGTAATGAAATTTCAACCGTTTTTGTTTGGGTGTAAATGGGTTAATGCCACGTCGAAATCTGTTTCATTTTGATTTTCGAAGTTCTAAGCATCGTTAAGTTAAGTTAAGTTGGCCTAATTAGGCTTTTAAACTCAGTAGCTGGCCTTTGCGACATTCAGGAAAATTGCAAAGCTGAGAAATTCGCGCGACATGGAACGGTGTTGCTGATAAATACATGAGGGACGCTCTTGGCATCCCTTATCAAACGTGTAACTTTCTACTGTGTAAAAAATTCATAGAAATGTTCAATAAAAGATGGCAAATAGAACCAACCTCAAATTCTGAACACGCTGACCAGACATAGCACAGTGGTTCAAAATTGGAAATCAGTGGTCATAATTCACTGCAGCCTTAATTTTTCAACCAATTTGATAAATTTTTAAAATGAAAATTTTTTAAAATTAGCAAGAGACCAGTTGAGCCGATTTTTGAATTTTTATTTTTTTGCATTACATTTTTTGCTGCAAAGTGCATAAGAAGGAGCAAATTTGAATCAATGTAAAAGCTAGTTGAAAATAATTGATCCCCCAAAATTAAAAAAGAATCACAAGAAAAATTTTAAATGTCATAAAAAAATTTCAGCAAAATTCAAAAATATTTCTTTGAGTTTTTAGAAATGAAAGTGCAACCCGCTAGTGGCTAAGAGTTTGCGTTGATGTTTCATAATTTTGAATGGGAAATAAAGGCTTTCTATTTCTTTCGTTTAGTTAACATGTATTCTTATCATATATATTACAAAAAATCCATCCGAACTCTTAGTCACTTACAACTTGCACTATCTAATACTATAATTGAATGATCTATAAAATTGCATACCGAAATTTTTTCAAAAATCTAAAAAAAATAATAATTTTGATGAACATTTTTTTATAACATTTCAAATTTTTTAGTTTTTTTATTGTTTGCGTTTTGAGGGAACTAACAGTTCATTTCAACTACACCTTTTCCAACAGTATTTCAGAAAAACATAAATATATTTCAGAAAAGCATACATAAGTGTATTCTAAAAATATTTTTATGAAATGCGTTTGAGGTTTTCTGAAACACATTTGAGTTTTTCTGAAATTCATTTGACCTTTTCTGAAATTCATTTGGCCTTTTCTGAAATATATTTGTGTTTTTCTGAAATACAGTTGGAAAAGGTGTAGTTTTTATTATGTAACATTTATAAACTTTAACAGGACAATCGATTTGCTTCAAATTGCTCCTTTTTGCACTTTGCACTCAAAAATTTATTATTATCAAATAAAAATTCAAAAATTGAAATTTTACAAGCTTTGGTTAAAAAAATAATACTAATCAAATTGAGTAAAAAATAAAGGCTCAAGTGAATTATGAACAGTAAATACCAGTAATTCTCTGCTCAATTCAGTTGCGAACTGCCAAAGATAATTTAATATACCATCGCCATAAATAATAGGCTCATAAGTAATGAAAATATACATATGTAATGTCTAAAGTTCGTTTGTTATGGATTTTTCTTTAGATATTTGGATACATATCGGTCATTTACTAAGGCACTGAAAGTATTGAAAGGATTATCAAACGTATACTTCAACAAAATTAAAAAAGACTTCAAAAATATGCACTTTTATCAATAACGCGTTAAAATTAACATGACTTCCATTTCAAATATATAATTTTAATTCTCCCACTTCTGCACGTAAGAAAAATGACAAAATGAAAATTAAAAAAAAAATTAAATTATTGCATTTTTTAGGTCAGCAGACATCTGCTGACTTAAGCCATATTGAGTTATCTCAAAATTTTACAATGAATTTTGTCCGGCTAAATTGGCCAAACACGTCACTGTGCGGTGTCAGGCATTTTCTTTCATACATATGTGCTCGAATTTTTTATTATATCGAGAAAAATTCACAACACCGTCAGTATAAAAAAATTCAATGGGCTACGAAACTGCAAACTACAAATTTTTTGTAAAGATTGTGATTAAAAGGTTCAATATTTTGATAAAATTTATGGAAGTCTTCTAATTTTTGTAAACAGTCTTAAATTTGGACTTACAGATTTTTTGTTATAGTTACAGTGAGCTATACTACCCTAATAAAGTATTAACAAACTTTTTATTCTTCTGAATAAATAGTTGGAAAATTTATTAAGATTAGTCGAATTTTAATAAATCTTGTACTTACATAAATCGCTTTTGTTAGATAAACTTAAAAAATTAGGATTAACATTCCTAACATACATATTACATTTTTTCACATATATATGTATGTAATTATAAGTCACTTACTTCACTTCCAATGTTGGCGTGGTTATCGATGATGACGGTGGAAACTGCTGATGATTGCAAATTAATAGAATTGATTATGCCACAGTAAAACACACAATTATTCAAAATGCCCCTCAGGCGTCCGAACTGGTTATAAATATTTTTTACTTTTTCTTTTTTGCTTTTTTTTTAAAAACCACGGTGGCAATTATTTTTAATGATACTTTAAGGGTTTTCACAAATAATTTAAATTACCAGTAGCTCACTAGTACAAAATATGTAATCATTTTTACTACATATGTGAGTATATCTAAATTCAAAACTTTAAAGACGTTTTTTTATTTATTGGATTACGACACTTCTGCAGCAAATTTGAGATATCTATTAAGTATAAGACATTTAAAAAATTTCACAACACAGCAAAAAAGTCGATTTTCTTTAAAACTTGTTCATCATTTAAAAGTAAAAAAAACATTATGTTCCTCTGTATTAATAAGTATACAAAAATAATACCCGAGCTCATTAATAACGAAGTATATAAATTTAAAATCCTATATAAATAGTAAAATTTTATAAAAACGTCACTTTATAAAGCCTGTTAAATTAATTATACTTTTTTAAATAAGTAAATAAGTCTGAAAACACGTCGCATAACACAAAATGCTTTTTTTTTCTTTTTTTCCGTGAGGAAACAATAGGCAGAAGTGACAAGAAAATTCGGCTCTCTTTGTAGCTGACTATAGTGTCAAGAAACATAAAAAAAACTTAATACGTTTTTTTTTTGTACAGATTGATATATTTTTTCTATGTTTATCGCAGTCCAAAATAGAAAACTGTTGAAATCATTTCTGCCGTGTTGAATATGCAATGGTATACACGAAAGAAAAAGAAACAAAATACATCCCTAGTCTTTTTGTTTTATTGGCTCTTGAAACGTCATATGGAAGAAAATGCGCAACACCCTCCACAAAAAAAAAAAAAAAATATTTAAAAAAATTTTAAAAATGAACGGCAATTCTTAGCGACTTGAAACTTGAACTTTATTAAATCGTCGCCTAAGGGTGAAAGGACGCCAAGTCTATTTTTTTTTTTTAATTGTTCAGGAGAGACGAAAAATCGTTGTAGTTTCGTATTACCTGCCATTCTGTATCAAAAACTAATTAAAAAAAAAATTTACTTACCACCTTTCCACCTTTAGGTAGCGATATTATTATTAAAGGCTACAAAATTGCATACCCAAAAATTGCATACTAAAAATTCTGATTACAGTTTGAAATTTTTATGAAACATTTTTTTGATTAATTTATGTGAAATTTGTGCCAGCTTTGAAATTTTTATTAATGTGGTTTCTGTTATAGATTAAATAGAAGAGTTTAAACCTAAAAGATTTGCATAAAAATGTTAAGAATTCTATTAACGGAGTCAAAATAATGCGATTTTTGATGGTATTTCGAAATCCATCTTTATATTTTTCCGATTGAAAGCGTTTAAACTTTTATTTATGTGGTATCTGATATAGATGGACCCATATTTTAAAAGAAAATTATTAACAATAAACAAATAAAGATAAGTTTGACCGCAACTGTATCCCTTTGCTTTGTTTTTTATACCCGAGCGCACTTGTGCACAAGGGTATTATAACTTTGTTCACATAACGGTTGTTTGTAACAGGCAAAACGAATCGAGATAGATATAGACAAATGTATACATAAATGATCAGAATGAAAAGAGAAATCGATTAAGCGGTGACTGTCTGTCCGTCCGTCCGTCCGTCCGTCCGTCCGTCTGTGCACACGATAACTCGAGTAAAAATTGAGATATCTTAACGAAACTTGGTACGTGAACTTCTTTTGGGCGTAGGACGGATGGTATTGAAAATGGGCGAAATCGGACAATAACCACGCCTACCTCCCATATAACGGTAATTTTCAGAAATACGAAAACTGCGATATTTTAGTAACTACTGAAGATAATTCACTCAAAATTGACATTTAGAATAACTTTTAGACGAGAAATAAGAATATTAAAAATTTTTGAAAAATGGGCGTAGCCACGCCCACTTATAGTTACATGTGTATATTTTGGAAACCGCTGCACCAATTTCTTCCAAACTTGGCACAGTTGTTGACCTTGGTACAGCATACCAAATGGCCGAAAATTTTTAAAATCGGACAATAACCACGCCCACATCCCATATAACGGTAATTTCGAGAAATACGAAATCCTCGATAAATCAGTAAATATTAAAGCTAATTTATTCAAAATTGACGGTTGCAACAATTCTTTATCAGGAAATACGCTTATGATAAAATTTTGGAAAATGGGCGTGGCACCGCCCAATTATGATCACATTTATGTATATCGGTAACAGTTCTAGCAATTTGTACCAAACTCGGTATGATTATTGTGCTTGCCACATAAAAGCAAACCGTTGAAAATTATTGAAATCGGACTAAAATTACGGCCGCTTTTCATATAACGGTAAATTTCAGAAATGCTTGAAATTTCAATATTTCGAAATTTAAGGATGCTAGTTTACTTAATATTTATACACCGGCTTATCATGTAGCGGTAGCTTTCGGAAAGGTGGAAAACATATATTTAATACTTGCGCCGGGTATTTAATGTTCGGCTCCGCCCGAACTTAGACTTTCTTACTTGTTTTGGTATATTTTTGTATAAATTAAAAAGTGTTGCCATGAATTAAACGGAATTGATCATGGCTTATAACTAATCTGAGCATTACATCGTTGACAAGGATCACTTTTGTTAATATATGGGTCGTAGTTGGGCTTTTAATGCAAATCTTTTATTTCTCATTTGTCCCGTTAAATTTTTGTAAATCCCGTATCTTTGGGACAAATTATGCATTTGTCCCGTATGGCTGGAAAAAAAAATCTGGCAACACTAATGGAGAGTGATACACCCTAGTTTACGTATGCTTTATTTTTTGACAGGTTTTATTTTTTTTTTTTGTAAAGGTTGCCACCTGTCAAAAAATTCTATTCAATTCAAATTATTTAATAACGTAACAAAAACGACCCAGATTTATGTCCAAGGACTGTCACTCCAGCAACACCCCCAAGAAACTCTTTGGGGAATTTGTATGAAGTAAATTATTAAAATATAAAAATGGTTTTGAATAGGCTTTGTTTCTAAACTACCACCTGTTTAAATATTAAATTTAACGTTAATTAAGAGATTTGGGTAATTATAATATATATTACAGGTTGTTGTTTGAAAATGTTTTGAAGAGGGTTGCCACTTGTGCGAAAAGTCGAATTCAGTTAAATTATACATAGATTGTATAAAAGTAGTAGAAACAAAAATATTATACAGATATTTATATAAACGGACTAAAAAGTTGAAATTAATTTTTCCTAGACTCATAGAATTAGTCTGGATATATTTTTATCTAAATTAGAAAAAGTATTTCTAACAACGGTCGACCTTCGGCAGGCAAAAGATTCTCATAAAATCAACAGGCGCAGCCGAACTGGGGAAGAAGCTCGTCCAAAAGGTTAGCATAAAGTGTAAGCGCCAAAATATTATTATTTATTATAAACAATTTATGAGATTTAAAATTAAAAATATGTGGCGCATATATTAGACTTGAAATTATATGAAAAACGATAAACAACCACTACCAATTTTTTACAAATTAATTAAATCGATCTCAAGAAGACGATATCAAATTTGAATGGTTCAAAATATAAAAATTGGCAAGGCAATATGTTTAGCACTCACAAAATTCATTTGGAAAATGTTTAAAAATCGTTTGTCATGATTGAGGCAAAGTCTAATACTTTGTCGTTCACACGATTGGCGTATGTACCAATTTACGTCAAAATTTGGGCAAATGCCCAATCGCGTACGTCGAAAAAAAAATATTTTAGATTTTTTGTAAGCTGCTGCATTGATTTTGTTGGTATGTCATAAGTGGATTTTTCTTAAAATTTAGATAAATTATTTAATAATTTTTCACGTGAAGGGTGGAAATTTTAAGTTGAATTATGTTGCTTTGTCGAAATTTCGCGTGTTGTTTATGGCTTTTCTACACAAACATATGTACATGCATATGTATGTATGTACGATTCTATTTCTTCTTAACAGATTTAAACTTCAAACGCATGCAATGCATTTATTTTATAAACATAATTCATTTTATAATTTTTTTTTTTATTCCACTTAAATATAGATAAAATCTTTTAAATCTTTTGCATTTTGAAATTATTCGTGGTTTTATTTCTGTCACTTGTAGCGCTCACTTTTTTTCCAAAAACAACAATAACAAGATTTTGTAAACAACACATTTGGATACCTGCGAGTAGGTAGTACATACAAACATTTAAGAAAAAAACTCAAAAACAAAGCGGCAACAGGCAGGGCGCACGCACGTTCGTGTACGGCGAGTAGGAGCGCGCCGAAACCAACTGGAAATTTGTCTACCTATACACATATGTACATATCTATGTATGCGCACACATATAGATATATACTATATATTTATGTAGCTGATATATATATACTCGTCGCTTGATCGATCGACTAAAATGTTTACGCGCGTTTTCACTTTTTTATTACTTCGAAGTGTGGCGTTCAGTGGAGGTTGAGCGTTTTTCACAAAGTACCTTTCCGCGTGCGAGCTAAAACAATAATGCCTGAACTGAAAATATTCGAAAACAAATGTGTGTCGAAAAATACTAAAATACCCACACAGTCTGTTGATTAGCCGAACCAGCGGCCAGCTTGCTCGAATAAAAGGGCTTCGGCGCGCTTTGTTTTCTGTTTTGTCGTCGTTCCGTTCAGTGTTCGGCCATAATCGGCGATGGCTATTGTTTGCGCGCGCGTATCTTAAGAACTTATATACGTATGTACATTAGGATGCCGCACCAAAAAAAAAAAAATTGTCAATTCAAGAACTCGGTAAAAATATTTCGGGGAAATTTTAAGATTTACCAAGCATCTGAGTATTTTGACTCCATCAACTTTTTAAGCTTAAACCTTTCTCTTATTCGAGTGGCTTTTTTGGAAAAAAGTTTTTTTTAAACCAATTTTATTAAAAAAAAAAAGTTGTTTTTGGAGATATTTTCAAATCGGCACAGCACACGTAAATCTCAATAATTCTCCTATATATTTTGGTGAAAGTCTTGTAGCCTTTTTCATGAAAAATAAAGTATCTTTAAAAAAAGGTTTGTAAATTGAAAAATGTATGGAAACGTCAA